CCATGATGATCATCTTCATTCGTGAGAGGCTTATGATGTCAACCTTAGAGAATTGGAGGTAATCCCTTTTAGAATCTACATTTTATTTGAGGCACTCATGCTTCCCTATATGGTGGATGGTTTATACATGTAGAGGCTTTTCCCATAGTATTCAGCTTCATCCATGGGAGGCATATGGTGTCAACCTTGGAGAATTTGGAGGTGGTTCATTTTGGGATCTACCTTTTTTTCGAGACGTTCATACTTTCCTACATGGTGGATGGTTCATCCATGTAGAGGCTTCTCTCATGGTGTTCAACTTCATCCATGGGAAGCATATTATGTCAACCTCGGAGAATTTGGAGGTGATCCCTTTGGGATACACCTCTTCTTCGATGCACTTATGCTTCCCTACATGGTGGATGGTTCATCTATGCAGGGGCTTCTCCCATCGTGTTCAACTTCATCCATGGGAAGCATATAATGTTAACCTTGGAGGATTTAGAAGTGATCCATTTTGGGATCCCCCTCTTCTCCGAGGAGCTCATGCTTTCGTACATGGTGGATGATTCATCCTTTCAAGACTTTTCTCATGATGTTCAGTTTCATCTATGGGAAGCATATGATGTCAACCTTGGAGAATTTAGAGGTGGTCCCTTTTGGGATCTACCTCTTCTCCAAGGTACTCATGCTTCCCAAGATACTTCATTCATGCAAAGGCTTCTCTCATAGTACTCAACTTCATCTTTATAGGTATTTGAGACGAGCTTCCATTAGGTTGCTTCTCACCTCTCATTGCAAAGTGGATTACTTCTTTACATGTGAGTGGCTTATCCATGTCAAGGGTTTTTCCATGGTGGATGACGCGTAGGCGAAAATGAGGCCTTACATGGTGAATATGTGGAAGGTCATGCTTGTGTATAGGCAAAATACGAAAATGGCCCCAAGTCCTTCAGTAATTTCACGCTTGGGTCTCTCAACCTTTGAACTTATTGATTTTGATCCTCTTATTTTTACTTTTATTTCAATCATACCCTTGATAACTTGCATTCAAACTCTTTCAATTTCGAAACATCTACACTTCAATCCTAAGTTCATATTTTTGTACGCTTTTAGACCTTTTCTCTTCTTTTGCGTTGTTCCCCTTCAATTTGAAATTTTTTGCTTCTCACTTGATAGATGCGCCCTTCTTCAATGTTACTCCCTTTATGGCCTATTCTTCAAAGGCCTTCCCTTTGTAAAAAGGTCTTCCAGTAGCCTCTTCTTCCTTCTAATGGCCACTTCATGAAACACCTTCCTTTTAGGGGTTTTTTTTTTTTAAATTCAAGACCACTTCTTCAACGACCTCTCTTCTTTCGGGGGGTTTACTTATTCAAGGTCATTTCTTTAGCAGCTTCCCACTTTTTAGGGGGTCTTCTTATTTATAGCATCTTCATTGGAGACCATTTCGTTTCATGGGTCTTACAAATGGATTTCTGTCTTAGTATGTTCATTTTTTCAAGAAATATTAGCTATCAAGTACTGATGTCAACTCCAAATCTCTTTCTTGGGGATTCCACTTGTTTTTTAAGAACAAATCATTTTCAAAGGGGAAACCAAATAAATATTCCGGTAAGTTTTCTTCACGGGAATGCTCGAGGTTGTAGTGGCATTTCCCATAGACGGCGCTAATCTATTGACCCAGTTTTCTGTAATGGTCACGTAGACAATAAATGTCGGACACACTTGCATCCACATAAGCAAATTACAACACGTTTTGACTGGAGATTCGGATGGTAAATGATGTCGTTTATTAACGTTGAAGATACTCTACGATGCGAGACAAAAATGTTTGAGCACCGACAATATGATCAAATATGATTACATATTTAACTAATAATCACAAATAACTCAACCAAAGCGAAAAAAAAAATCTAAACTCAAGCAAATATATATAGAATAAGCAAGAGAGAAGATCGGGTGTGGTTTGAAGTGTGAAGAGTTGCATTAGATTCAAATGTTACGAGAATTGCTTATTTATAGAGTTTTGGCCGAAGTGGTAGCCGATAAGAACTACGTGGCCTCATCTCCTACGTCGAAGTCTCACATCACTCGGTCAGCTATGCATTTAATACATTGGAAACGGGTTAAGCACCCTATACATTAGGCTGACAATCCCGACATTCATTATTAAAAACATTATATCAATCATTCATAAAGATTACATGCAGATCCTCTAGAAGACAGCAAGGGTTTCAGCCGAAGGGAGCTTCGGGTTGGAGTGAGGGCTTCTGTGAAAGGGAGCTTTGTATTGGACGTCTTCGGTGTTAAGAGTTTCATGACAAAGAGTTTCAGCTTCTTCTTTGATTTTTTATATAGTGCTTCGGTTTTAGAGGTTCGGCCATTTAAATAGTGCTTTGACTAAGGGCTTTAGCCACCTACCTACGCTTTGGCTTAAAGGCTTCGGCCACTTACATATTGTTTCGGATGAGACGTCGATTCGTTATCTTTACCTATAACTCCGGTTTGATTTTTGATGACGCGGAGTGTGCGCCTTTTGTTTGGGCTTTTTCTTGAGCCCAGTTTTAAGTCGTTACAAATTCTGTTGCTTAAAAAATTTAACTATTTTCTTGAAATTTATGAAAAATTGTATATCAAAGAATGTGGAATAAAATCCAATATTGATATCTTACGAACGGATATTTGACATGATTTTCCCTTTGTGGATACCACTTTTATTTAGTATCACTTCTCCAAATTGATAACTACAAAAATACGTATAATTATTAACGAAATAGTTGTTAACTTCTATAAAGAAATGATAAATTTATATGTGCATAATTATTATACATAATGGATAGTGATGGCAATGAGGCGGGTTCGGGGCGGGGCACCCTCACCCCACCCCATCCCACCACGCCAC